AATCATACATGGTGCCTTGGGATTGAGTTTTCCGCATGGTCCATGAACCATGCTACTAACAACTGCAGCATATGTCCTAGGGTTGATTTCTGGATCAGGTATTTTAGCACAAACAATAGTGTCATAATTCTTGGGAGTCTGCAGTTTATCTTCCGGATGTAATATAACTAATATATGTGCGTGTGGAAGACCCCGCTTCTGGAATTCAATGACATAGGTGTATACAATCATTTTTTCAAGAACTCCACGCTCGAAAATATTTTTCTTCAATTCTTGAAGCTTCTCCCGAAAAACTCTTGCTAGAGAGAATAAAAAAAAATTAATTTGATGAATTAGTTATTATAGGTAAACATGGTAATGTACTCATAATATCAGGCCGATTTTGAGCTTGTTGTCCAGGCAGCATGAGGGCTTGAATTTCTGGCCAATTGGGGTTACACGTCATGGTAATAAATAAATCAGGTTGGCCCATATGCAATAAGGCCATTACATCTTAATATCTCTACACCATATCGCGAGGACCCCCGATGAATGTGGAAGGAAGTATTACTCTCCGACCAATACGTCTTGGATCATTGTCACCATGTAGGACTGCATCATGAATGCCCTGATATAGTTTGCTACAAATTTTATTTTGATTTTGACGGTGGAAATTTAGGTGATCCGATTCGATTTTGACATACATATCAACCACATATTGTTGAAAAAGTCGTCCTGCATGTAAAAGTATATTGGTGGAGCAAAGTCGAATTTGAATCCTATACGCATAATATTCCATTGCACTTACAAATTTTCTGTGTCGTGTTGTACTGGTATTGCTATTTTCATATATTAGATCGTTACTATCTCTGCTATTGGGATATTCGTTAATGTTAATTGTCTTAGGTAGAGGGACATTTTTATATAGTATTTGTTAAGGAATCCATCCTTGCTTGTTATTAGGAAATAGAAGTGAATAGGCCAAAGGATCGTAGCACCCACTGAACTCAGAGATATGAATCAGCTGATTCATTCATGTATGTAATAGAATGTTACATTTCTGAATCGCACCGGGAGGCACATCATCATTGATCCAGATTGCCGCTACCTGAGGAGCCGTTGGGACATTATGGGTCCTTTGGTTAAGTCCAGGAATGTTTGTATGAATAAGCATTGATAGATTTTTGATATCTTCTTCAGGAAAATTAGAAATGTATTGAAGGTTAATAGAATAGGAGTTTACTTCATCAAGTATGGCTTTTATGTCTTCGACAATAACAGGGTTGAGATTTGAATTAGGGATGGCATTCGTTTGATGGTGTAGTTTATGTTAGGTATCATAGATATACATCTGTAGGTAGTGGGGATTAGATCCTGCCTCTGATAGTAGCAAACCAATCTGGTGATAAAATGAACCTTGAACACGAAAAGTATAGATGCTGTTCTTTGCATTAGTGAGCTCGTGATTGAACCTGACACCAACGAAAGCAAAGGTAAATGCCGAATTGTAAAAATGAATTTTGTTATGAAAATCCTTTGCAATATCATTCTGACTGGTAAAGAGATGGTGTAAAAGTGGTGAAATAGTAGGTTCCATCAATACTACCTTTCCATTGGAACAGCATATTCTTGAACTTTCTGTAGGTAACTTAAGTGCATTACAGTAATTACATATAGTGCTATTAGTAACATCGATTCTGTGTGAAGCAAAATAATTGCCTACATCCATATCTTCAGAAAATTTAAGGGCGAATTTGTGCAGCTGAGGATTATTGGTGTACTGTTGGCGATGAGCTGCAGCATCACTTTGGTGCCTCTGTTGACGTTGCCTAACAGTTTCCATAATTCTATTTCTACATTTTCAGGCAGCATCTGCTTCTCTGCATTCTTGACTTGTAAAAGAATGTGCATTACATGTCATAAGAGAACAAAAGGTTATGAATCTGCATGAACGAAGTTTATTACCAACACAATTGAACCGCTATTATACTTTTGAGTGGTGATAATGTAATAAGCATAATGTATACAGTGAATTAAGTTCGATATATAGATAAAGTGCAAAGCGCAATAATAAATAGATGCATTTATTAATAATTAATTGTTTTTTTGAAGTTTTATAAATAATTGCAATAATTTTAAATTTTAAATTTCTGCCATTTTATAGCATTTTCATGTACACTTTACATTATATTAATTTTATTACATAACAAAATTATCATTCGTTCTTATGTATGTCATTAAATTTTAGTTGACACATATCGCATACAATTACAAAGTATATTTTTCGAGTCGTCAAGCTTATCAAATTCTAATCTTGTCTTGTCATCAAATTCTATGTATTACATGTAATAATTACTTATAACGTGTTGCCAGATTT